TGTAAACTCCTTTATCCTCAGTTCTGATGCTCTTCAGTCTGAGAGAGAAGTTTCCTTTGGAGATTTCAGCAGTGAAGAACTCAACTCTGTCTCTGTATCGCTCATCTGATGAATCTGATAAAGTCTGATTGTTTTGGTAGAGCAGAACCAGAATATCTTCATCTTTATCAGTTTTCCTCCATGAAACCTCTTCAATGTGTTCAGGTGTGATGTGAGAGTCTACAGAGCAGTTCAGAGTGATGTCCTCACCCACAGACGCAGATATGGAACGACTTGATCCTGATACTAGCAAATGATCTGGAAAAGTTAAATTTCAGCATATCAGCTAACAAAATGTATTTTATGTACCACCAGAGGGACTATGCACAATCAACCATATTATATATGTAAGGGATAATGTACATCCAGCCGGTTGTTATCTCAGAATAAACCCCGACAGGGTAATCAGTCTTGTATCAGCCTGAAGGGGTTTATTCTGCGATAACAACTGGCTGGATGTACATTATCCATTATATATTTGGCGGTTGTTATCTGGGAATAACATACCGCTGGATGGCGCGATACACATTAGGTCAAATCATGTGACCAGGAAATATAACCTGAGAAAAACAAAAGGCATCACAGCAAATAGTAAAATCAGAGTAAGATCAAACAGTTTCTGTAAAGCTACTAATGCAAGAGCTACTGTTCTTGTTCCATAATGTACAGGTAACACAAGATTGCAGCATGAGATTTGCATTCTGAAGATAAAACTAACATCTGGTTGACAATCACTATCGAAAATATTCTTTATGATATAAAACATACAAAACTCATCACCATCTCCCAAAACAACCAATTAAACTGCAGAATGCTACTGGAAAGCTTAATTTTGTGGGTTGTCTCCATAATCAGCTTAAAGAGATAAAAACATGTACATACCACCAGATATGACTGGAATTACTGCCACAAAAATAAACATTAGAAGCACCATATTTAGAAATCATAATCATCTCTCTGGATAGTAAAGGTGTTGGTCTGTAAAGTGAGCGATCTGGTGCATTAAAGCAATATGTTTAAACCTGATTATTTTCTTTCTTTGAGAAAGAGTAACCTACTGCGGCTAATCCATATAAACAGGTTCTGATTAAGGAAAACATCACCATAGAAAAAAAGAAAAGCATTTGCAATGGAAATCATCTGAACGACAAAAGAAAAAAAAAAGTAAAAATCAATAAACTATCACGGTTACTTTTGGTTGTGCTCCTGTTCTTCTGCTTTAGTTTAATTAATTGACCTAGTTTCCCACTTGTGTCTGTTTGTCATTCTTTTCAGGTGTGTTGTTAATTATCCTCATTTGGTCTGTGTTCTTAAGTTCCTGTTTGTCGGGTCTCATCAATGTTACGTGCGTCACCAGCCTTACCTTTGTGCATTGGTCTCAAACTCAATTACTGGAGGGCCATAGCTCTGCACATTTTAGCTCCAACCTTAATCAAACACACCTGATCTAGCTAATCAAGTTTTTTAGGATTACTAGAAACTTCCAAGCAGGTGTGAGTTGGATCTGGTTGGAGCTAAACTCTACAGAGTTGTGGCCCCTTTGGAATTGAGTTTGAGACCACTGCCTTTGTGCGGATTTATTAAAGACTTCTTCGTCTTTGTGCGTGTTCATCTACACCAGTGTTTCTCAACCCTGGTCCTGGGCGCCCCCCACCCAGCACTGCACATTTTGTGTGTCTCCCTAATCAAACACACCTGATTCAACTCATTAGCTCATTAAAAGAAACTCCAGGACCTGAAATGGATGTCAGATAAGGGAGACATACAAAATGTGCAGTGTTGGGGGGCACTCAGGACCAGGGTTGAGAAACACTGATCTACACAGTATCGTGACAAACAAATAAATTAAAATAATAATAATAAACATAAACAAAATCTGTTTGATTGGCTGTATTATCCACAACATAAACTTTGTCTCCTGGAACAGTTGATTCAGTTGAATGACCAGGGGCACCGCTAGCAATTTTGGGCCCTATGAAAGAATATGAGGTTGGGCCCCCTACCGCACCAAACATACACTATATTGCCCAAAGGATTGTCTTGAGAAAGGATTGTTTAATGTATCTTGGTCTGCAGTTTAATAATATTGACCTATTACTTTTGCTATTGCTTTTGACCATTAGGTATCAGTAACATAATTCATTCAGAACCTT